TTAAAATATCGGTGTATTCTAATGTCAGCTAAAAAGGCATAGGAGACACCGGTAGCTGAAGAAAGATTTCGGAGGATACGTTTAATAATGATCAGGTCTTTTTAAGTAAAGCTGAAAAACTAACTGGAGAGCAGTAAAGAATGAGAGGGAGAATGCAGGCATCTATAAATCGCAAGATTAGGACTTTAAGTGTGTCATAGGAACGTAATCAACGGATATGATATAGGGGTTTATGAATTGTAATCGGAGTACTTGGGCGATCGTGGACACTACAAAGACAGTTTACTGAATATGAACATTATCATGTACGAGACCGATGTGCCATGTTCATGTGCGGACAATGGGCCTCAAGATGAAGGTCAGGTGGAAGGCGCGCTCCGGTGACCTACTTCAGTTTTGAGGTCTCTGCCGACTCGTAGACACCACCAACAGTGATAATATCATGGGCCAATAATATTTCTGACAAAGACTATAGAGACTGGAATGGTCATTTCTGGCTTATGAACCGTCGTCAGCCAGTCATACTCTATACTACTAACTGCTACGACTGCTGTCAGGACTATAGAAATGAGGCCGAAGGCAGTGCGGGGAAAGTAAGTTCCGTTAACGGTCGTCAACATTCATCCATGAGTGACAATATTCTCCTCCTCCCGTCAGCTTGCGCCTCCAAAGCACTCCCGATTTGGCAGAAACTAAGGTGTCTTGGCTGTCATACGGCTCCGTCAATTGTCACATTAGCAGGAATGGCTTACAGGACCCCTAAACGGAAGAGGAGCCGCCTTTGTTACTTGGATTGAGCGTTAGAATTCGCGCATCCTTTCTGCACAAGTAATTCTTACCAGCATATGTCTTCGCTTTCTCTGCCCCTGCTTTGAAGAAGCCGCTTCCGATTTATATATATTTGCTTTTGATCATGCCTTTGCAGGTAATGCGGGCGTGGGCCACCGCCTCCGACTGCCCTCCATGCAGCATCTCGCCAAATTCTCTCCTCTCAGCCCTGGCCTCCTCCTCCTCTTCCTCCTCCCAACATGCTGCTGGCACTGCCC